CATTTTCACCTTAAGTTACAGCCATAATATGCATTTTATTTTTCCCCCTTAACTTCTGTTTTCAGTAAAAGAGACAAAATACTGACAAGGCCCTGCCGGCACTGGACAAAAGGAAATATTTGAAACATGGCGTCCATTTGAAAAGAAAGACAACCGCAGTCTTGGCTGTCACTCCTAACTGGTCTCCACCCTCCCAGCGAGCCACACCAAAAGCCTTGAGAGCCCGACATGTCACTAGAAGAACACTATCTAGTGTGTGGTGAGCAGTGGATGAGCAGCTGCTTCAAAGAGCTTTTGTTGACCGGCTGGATTTGAGCTGTGAATGCATTTTATGAATAGAGCTACTCACTCGGACAATAAATGACCACACCAAAACCACAGTACTCTTCATCACCAGAGTAGCAGTCGTTGTACAGTGACTTCAAAAGGTGGAGACAGCCAAGATTGCCACTGACCCCTGACCTCATTTCCTCCCTCTATACACTGTCTACTGTCAAAAAAAGGCTAAAATGCAAAAAAAATAAAATAATCACAGCATACAATGAATGGCAAGGTGCACATAAGAACCATCACTATTCATTATCTCTCTGGCACGCTCTCAACTGCTTAACAAGTGTGTGGTATGTGAGCCGTTTCACCCATCCACCTGCAGAAGAGCAGTGGCCTTTCCCCCCCAGCTGTTGTTGAACCGTGTTGCTAATCCATGTCTTATCTGGATCCTCGGCGGGGTGGTGGGCGGACAGTGAATCCATAACTGCCTTTCTAAAAATGAATGGTATGCTCCTCTGCTCAGCCACTGTGTGCTCTGACACCCCAGGCTTAGTCACGGTAAACAGAAGGCATTTCTATGAGCCGCTGATGGCAAAGCGGAGTTACTGCCTCGTCACAATTACTTTAGCAATTAGCAATTCCTGGCATTTCTCCACTGGGCTACATCTGTGTTCACAGACTATAACAATGACAGGGGGGATATATTGCAGTTGGCTACGCTCCATGTTTTTATACTGATGACAAAAGGGGTCGCTAAAATACTTTCTCCCTAAGCAGCTACGTAACAGACGTGGCAAACAGCATTAGTGCTGATTGCCAACACCCCTTCCCTAAAAACACAAATAGTTTGTGCGCTGTGAAAGCAGCTGTGGTTTGATTAATAAAGATTCTGTCTACATCACTTACATGAGCACTCACACTAGGAAACTCCAGTGAATTTGAGCACGGGAAAAAAATGATCTGCCATCCCTGGACAGCACTCGCTAGGTGTTCTTACAGTGGGGGGGGGGGGGGGGGGGGTATTAAGCATCTGTGTTTACAGCCAGACCACGTGGTTATTTGTTTAACAAATTACCAGTAGAGATTTTTGTGTACATGCATGTGCGTGTGACCCCCTGAGGGCTCCATCTCAGCCATGTACTGACTGAGGGACGTGGGCAGGCATGACACCAGACATTACAAATGCAGACCAAAGCCACTCATGGTATTTTCATTTTTCGGAGGCTATTGCTGAAAGCATTTTGTCTTTTGCTGTGCAGAAAGGCAA